CTGCCTGCACACACACACACACACACACACACACACACACACACACACACACACACACACACACACACACACACACACACACACACACACACACACACACACACACACCAGACAGACAGACAGAGTCCAGGGAGCAGACTCAGCAGCTGGATTCAGGTAAGTGTATGGTGGGGGTGGGCAAGGGTTGGAGAGCCAGGTCTTGGGGACTATTTAGGGTTTGTATACATGTGTGTACATCCAAAAGTATTTATAATAAATTGGGATCCTATTATTGTTTAACTGCATGATTAAAATTGTGATTAGTTACAACTATTTTTTTAATCTCACAATTAATTACAATTATTTTTTTAACCATTCAACAGCCCTAAATATTTTGTTTTGTATTGTCTTTATTGAATTACTATAACAGTAGACATGTATTCTATAACAGCCCTCTTACTGTTTCTGGAGGTCCTTTCATAGATGATGTTCAGTAATGAGCTGATTTAATACTTAGGGTCCTTCAGGCGCAAGAGGACCTCCTGGGCCACAGGGACCTAAAGGAAGAAGAGTAAGTAACATATTGTTGTTATATCTAAAGTAGTGGTCAGTATATGAATCTGATTTCTGAAGCCCCTGCATTGTTTCTTATGAATTCTCTTCTGGGTTAGAAGGTATCAGTTACCCATATTGACTCAGGTCATTTTAATTGAAAATCTGACACATGATACATGTACCTCAGTATAAGCAGACCTGGAACTTCAACTTGCATCTTATACAGAAGTAAGTTGGTGTTTTGTTGTTCACTAATTGAAAGCCCAATCCAGGCAATGAGAGCCTTCTCATTGATTTGAATAAGTTTTGCATAAGGTCCAAGACACAAAATCAGTTCCAAATAAAGCAGTTAAACTGTAACATTACATGGCATGTTAACTCTTTTCTTTAAAAACTAGTTAATGTTTTTTCTTGGCCTTGGCCATGCATCACCATTCAGTTAGCAGTTAGCACCCATCAGGAAACAAATGGTACCCTGAAAAACTGGGTTCTTTTTGAGATGGAAAGTCTGATATAAACTTGCCTAGAGTGTATCTTCATAGCTGGAGGTTTCATCTGTGTTCCAGTGCTGGCTGTAAAGTAGCTAGCTTTTGATAACAGTTGCAGTGAAAACATGGTGGCACAGACTTCAGCTTGGACTTCAACCTGAGTTATCAACCTATGTACCCAGACCACCTAGTAGAGTACACACTAAGAACTGCTGCTATATCTTCACTGCTGTCATTATCCAAGCTAACTAGAGTTGAAGTAGTATTGGTAATATGCTTTCCAGTATAGTATAGGCATGTTTCTAAATGTTTAAAACATTTCTAAAATTATTTTTGCATAAGTCTTGAATCCTTTTCTGTTGAGCAGATTTTTGTAACAGAAACTAAAAAGAGGTTGTAGTTCATACAGTTAATGTCTATGCTCCATTATATAATTTTTTCTATAAACTGCCATTGTCAGTGTATTGTTTTCCATAGATATGTTTATATAATTTAATTTACACATGCCATAAAAATGTTTTTCACTTTTGTTGGAGGAAAATAAATGTTTAAGAAATTTACATAGATAAATGCATACATATATATATATATA